GAATAAAGCATCGTTGGCCAATAGGCAAGCAAGATAGGTGGGACTAGGAGACAAGGAGGATTCCAGAAGTAGTAGGAGGAATTTCAAGATGTAGGACCAACAAGGTAGAATTCTGGGTCTCTTCTGTAAGATAAGACCACGTGGAAATACTTAGATTGATAGAAATGGGTTAATATTTAAGACAGAGCCAGCCAACAAGAAATGCTAGTAACAGGCTAACAGCTTTATATCTAATATAGTGTCTCTGTGTGTTATTTAGGGCTGGTGTGGGTGTGGCTGTGGGACCAGGCTGGCAGGAAAACATGATTGTAACACAAGACCTTTTCTTGTTTTTTTTTTTTTTTTTTTTTTTTTTTTTTTTTTTTTTTGAGACAGTTTCTCTGTGTAACAGCCCTAATTGTCCTGGAGCTCACTGTGTAGACCAGGCTGGCTTCAAACTCACAGAGATCTGCCTGCTTCTGCTTCCCAATGCTGGGGTTAAAGACATGCACTGCACCCACCCAGCAAGACATTTTGACTAGTTGTTTATTTTGTAATTTACAACTAGTAAAATTTTCAGGAATAGTGATGTAGTCCTGAAGTCCCAGCACTAGGAGTCACAGTGAGAAAGACTGAGAGTCCCAGGCCAGCCTGGGCTGCATGTAGAAATGTAGAAATCCTATCTCAAACTCCAGAGTGAACATTTGACAGCAACAATGATATAGAGTGACAGTTATTCACTGTATGGAGTTCACAAATGTTGAGTTCTGCAAGGGCTGCCACAGAGAGCACACACACAATGCCACACACACCAAGTTTCTGTTATGTTCCAATCTCCTTTTCTTTTTTTCTTCTTTCTTCTTTCCTTTCTTTTTTTCTTTTTTCTTTTTATGAGACAGGGTTTCTCTGTGTAGTGCTGACTGTCCTGGAACTTGCTTTATAGACCAGGTTGGTCTCAAACTCAGAGACCCATCTGCCTGCCTCTGCCTCTTCAATGCCTGGGATTAAAGGCCTGCACCACCAATGCCTTCCATGTTGAATCTTAAAGTAAACTATATTTGGGTATCCTTAGGGACTTGACCTATAGAAAGTATGTGAATCCGAAGAAAACAATTTTGATTTTAGTAAGATCAACTGGTCCTGTTCTACAATGCCCAAGCTAGAAATCCTTTTTTCTCTGACCTATCATTTATTTCCAGCAGACCCTGAGACCTGTCTTTGCCCTCCAGGGTCCCTGAGGTTCCAGACCGGACACCATGGCAGGTACCACTAACATCAGGCACTGCCTCATGCTGCTGTTCATTTGAACTTTTTACCCAGCATGAAACCTGTGGCCTCCAGCATGTGGGTTCAAATGCAAGAGCCATGGCAGGGGAATCACCCCACCCTCAGTGCTCCATCTGGTAGGACTTAACTAATATTTCAACTGTTAATGCTTTTATATTTTCACTACATTTTATATTTTTATAGACTATTTTATTAAGGTTTTTTTCCTAGACTCTGTAAGACTTTTATATAACAAGTTCTATTTTGTGTGCACAATTCCCTTGTATGTGTTTATGTCAATCTGAGCCTCCCGCATTGCAGTTCTGTCCTGCTCCACCTTCACCCCCTAGCCTTGACCATCACTCACTTCTGCTCACCCAGGTAGCCTCGAGTGCTACTTCTAGCCATGCTGACAGCTGAATAGTAGCCTGTTGCTGTTTACTTTTCTGGTGTTAGTCATGTTATGTTGATACAGGAAGTCCTCCAGGCAGTACCCAACCAGGTTTTGTTATCTGCATTACTGTATACCCCCTCTCACTCTGCACAGCTCTGTCTTCCTGATCCACCCACCTCTGGGTGGGCCTGTTCAGGGAGGTCCTTGAAGATAGAGGCTGGATGCTCACCCAGTATATGAGGTTCTTCTCCTGTGGGCAACTGGAGGACTTGAGGACACAGTTCCAAGTGACTGTCCTTTTCTACCACAGCAACTTTTGTGCTGATCTTTGAGTTAAATGTTAGACTTGTAAAGGGAAAAATTAATTTGCATTACATTCTGCCTTGAAAAAAAAAAGATGTGTTACATTTGTTTATGCTGTGGAATATTTGTTTAATGATGCAAAGATGTGTTGTGTTCTTCTATGTTGCATTTGTTTAACTTCATGAGGCTGTGTTACTTTGCCTGTCTAAAACACCTGATTGGTTTAATAAAGAGCTGACTGGCCAAAAGTCAGGCAGGAGAAAGGATAGACGGGGCTGGCAGGCAGAGAGAAGAAATAGGAGAAATCTGGAAGGAGATTGCGAAGTGAAAGAAGGAGAAGGAGAAGGAGAAGGAGAGGATGAGTGTAGGGGCCAACCTACCAAGCTACACGGCAAGACACGGGGTAGGACATAAAGAAGGGTTTACAGAAACAGATAAAGGTAAAAGTCCTGAGGCAAAAGGTAGATGGGCTAATTTAAGTTAATTAAGTTAAGAAAAGCTGGCAAGAAATAAAGCAAGTCTCTGTGTATTTATTTGGAAGCTGGGTGGCAGGCTTCTCAAAGAGAAGAGTAAAGATGGAACAAACAACAAACAACACTATTCAGCTTCTTTCTGTGCGTGTAGCGGAGGTCAGTCTTGAGTGTCTCTCCTTAGGCTCTGTCACCATGTTTTTTGTTTGTTTGTTGTTTGGTTTTTGAGACAAGGTCTCTCACCATCCTGGATTTTACCAAGCAGAATGGCTGGCTGGTGAACCCAGTGTAGAGAGACCACATCCCGTTTTCTGATGTGGAGACTGGATTTAGGTTCTTATGCTTGCCTGGCTAGCACTTTCCCAGCTCCCAGTTTAGTTTTTAGACATACTCATGCAAGCAACCCTAATAAAACTCAGTTGTTCATAAACACACAAAAAATCCACCCAAACCAAATGAACAATAAAAAAGACAGGGGTCTTGCTGAGAAGAAAGGGTTCAGTGCGGGTGTGTGAGGCACTTAAAGAGAGTAACAGGGGTAAAATAACCGAAATAAGTTATATACATGTATGAAACTGTCAAAGAATAATAAAAGAGAGAGAAAATGGCAATTAAGACTTGTCTCCAAGTGGAATGTAAAAATAAAATAAAATAAAAAGTTACCTCAAAGCACAAAATCCCCAGGCATAACAGTCAATAAAGTATAGGGCTTGGCATGTAGAAAAAAAAAAAAAAGTGAGGGGCTGAAGAGATGGTTCAGAGGTTGAGAGCACCTACTGCTCTTCCAGAGGTCCTGGGTTCAATTCCCAGCAACCACATGGTAGCTCACAGCCATCTAGAATGAGATCTGGTGCCCTCTCCTGGTGGGCAGGCATACAGGTAGGCAGGACAATGTACACATAAATAAAATCTTTAAAACAAAATGAATGCAGAAATGATGCAGAGAAACGGAGGCCCATGTCAATATAGTGCACTCAGTCCTTTGAGTAGGAAATTGGGAGAAATAGGAAGCAGAGAGGACCACCCAGCAAGAGGCAATTCTTCAACCCGCTATCAGCGACACAGTGAAATCGCAGAGGCTTGGCTCGCACGCAGGTTAGAGATCTTACAAAACGATCTGCAGATTTCCATTTACCGCATCTGTGTCCAGGCTAAGCACTCCTATGGGGCCTTCTTGGTGGGGCGGTAATGGATGTGTACAGTTCCACTTGGCTGCATAGAGGTCATGCTGGGAATATTATGCGTGAGTGATTGTCCAAGAGCACCCGAGACTGACCTTCTGTGAAGTGCTCTCCTGTGGCAGCCCCAAGAAGAAGGCTCCTTCCTGGTAACTCTGCCTTCAGGTCCCCAAGTGAATGTGGTTTTGAGACTTGTTTTAGGTGAGGTCAAGAAGTGACATTCACTCTGAAAATGTTTTAGACCTATTTGGCTTTTTCACGGTTTCTACTGTGTACTTGTGTTTGAGAAGGTCCCTTTGACCCACACATTCTGGCTGTGGGGAAGCATATAATTCTTTTTTGTTTGCTTGGTTTTTGTGAGACAGATTTTTTTTTTTTTCTTTTTAAAGATTTATTTATTTACTATGTATACAGCGTTCTGGCCGCATGTGTCCTTGCAAGCCAGAAGAGGGCACCAGATCTCATTACAGGTGGTTGTTAACTACCATGTGGTTGCTGGGAATTGAACTCAGGACTCTTGGAAGAGCTCTTAACCTCTGAGCCATCTCTCCTGCCCGAGACAGATCCGCCCCCTCCCCCCACCCCCCGTTGTCCTGGAACTTTCTTTGTAGACTGGGCTGGCCTCTAACTCACAAACAAGATCCACCTGCCTCTGCCTCCCATGTGCTGGGATTAAAGCTGTGTGCCACCACCACTTGTGGGTAATTTTTAAAAGTAATTTATATTTTATTCATCTATCACCTATCTATCTACCTATCTATCACCTATGGTGTGTGTGTGTGTGTGTGTGTGTGTGTCCACATGTGCCATGGTATGCATATGAAGTTCAAGAACAACTTTTGGGATCTGGCTTTCACTTTCCACAGTGTTTTCTCTAAAGATTGAACTCATCTGGTCAAGCTTAGCAGCAAGCACCTTTACCTGCTGAGCCATCTCTGTAGCCCTAAGTCTTGGTACTCTACAAGTTTTGGAAATTATCCATCCTTTTCTCTCCTGACTTGCTCCCTTCTTTTCTTCCTTCCCTGGGCATGGAACCTAGGGCCTGTGCATATAGGACAAGTGCTCTGCAACTGCACCAGATAGGCCCTTCTGCAAACAAGGAAAGTGCTCTGTTATTGAGCCACAACTCCTGCCCAACCTGATTCTCTTACAACAGCTCCAAGAGCTAAGACATCCAGCCTTGGATAATGTGTAAGAAAATAGCACTGATAACAAAGGTACCAGAATATCAAAACCTTTCAGCAACTAACTTTCCTTAAAGTGACAGTTTACATCTCCTAAGCTAAATGTGGGAGCCTTAAACCTTCTATGTAGTCAGCCCTGTGACCATGTAGCTCAGTTGAACCAATCTATATGACTCTTACAGTATTTGTGCTTTCTTGGTAATTCGGAGCTTTTCTCCATGACTATTAAGTATGCCTATGAGAAGTTTATTCTCATGTCATCCTTGTGCAGGGCCATGCTACTCTTCTCTGTATTGTACCAATTTTAGTATATATGTTGTGGTAGTGAGTATGAGAAGTTTATTATCACAAATTTCTCAGAATGCTTTGCAGACTTGACATTTGTTTGTTTGGGGGACAGAGTCATGCTATGTTGCTGAAACTGACCTTTGATCATGATCCTCTGGTCTCTTCTCAGCTGATGGATCATCAACATGTGATACCATAGCTGGGTAGCATTTTTTTTTTTTTTTTTTTTTTTTTTTTTTAGTAATTTTGAAACTATGTTTTACTATGCAGCCCTGGGTGCCCTGGAACCTCTGTGTAGACCAGGCTGGCCTTGAACTTACAGGGACCTGCTTGCCTCTGTCTCTCTAGTGCTAGTGCTAAAGTCACTTTTGGCTCATTCTTTTGAAAAAGGAAGGGTGTTTTAAATTTATGTGTATGTGTCTGCATGAGTGTATGCCAACATGTGTGCAGAAGCCAGATAATGGCATCATGTCCCCTGGAGCTGAAGTTATAGCTGGTTGTGAGCCAACCTATGTGGGTGCTGGGGCTTGACTTGGGCATTCTGGGAGGATAGCAAACATTTTAACTGGTGCCATTTCTTTAGCCCCTGGCTATCATTCTTTTCTTCCTTCCTTCCTTCCTTTCTTTGTTAAACATTTTTATTAGTTCCTTGAGAATTTCATAAATATATCTTGATCATATTTAATCCCTCCCCAAACTCATTCCAGATAACCCCCTACCCCTTTCTAATTTTGGGTCTTTTGTTGAAAAACACAAAACATTGAGTATGATTTTTGCTGTCCATATACTCTTGGATTTGTAGCCTTCCACTGGAGTGTGTTGATCTACCAGGGACAACACACACAAAAAACAAAAACATAAAAACCTAACTTTCTCTTTTCCAGAACATGCATACTAGACTTCTTACTTTATCATATACAGACAAACTATTGCCGAATATTAATTTAAGATGTGTTACATTTGTTTATGTTGTTTAATGATACAAAGATGTGTTGGATTAATTTTGTTACATTTGTTTAACTCTGTAAAGCTGTGTTACTTTGTTTGCCTGAAACAGCTGCTTGGACTAATAAAGAGCTAAATGGTCAATAGCTAGGCAGGAGAAAGGATAGGCAGGGCTGGCAGACAGAGAGAATAAATAGGGGGAGAAATCTGCAGAAGGGGGAGGAGCAAGAAAAGAAGGCGAAGAGGACACTAGGCACAGGCCACACAGCCCACCACCAGCCCGCCACACAGCACGCCACACAGCAAGAAGGAAAGATACATAAAGTAAGGTAAAAAGCCCAAACACATAAACGTAGTTAAAGAGAGATGGGATAATATAGGTTAGAAAGCAGAAAAACTGGCTAGAAATAAGTCAAGCTAAGGCTGAGCATTCATAAATAAAAATAAGTCTCTGTATTTATTTGGGAGCTGGGTGGCAGGCCCCCAAAGAGAAAAAACAAAACAAAACAAAAAACCCAAACAAACAAACAAACAAACAAACAAACAAAAACTCCACAAAAACAAACAGACCTTTATTTTGACCTGTCAATGGTGTTTGTTCTGTTACAGATTACTTAGTGTTCATGAGTCCTACCATAAGGGATTTATCCCCAGACTTGACTGTGTTTTCCGTTTTTCTTTTTTCCCTTTTAAATTATATTTGTTGTTTCTGCACATGATTACAATAAGCATGTTATCTTTAAACTTAAAGGCTATTATAAAAATGAAATTATTTTATACTTGATGGTGACTTTCTAGTAATTTACACATAAATGACCACTTCTTTACTAGCTGAAAAAATACAAAGGGCAAGTGACTATTTTTGCTCAGTAGATGGTGGCAGACACCGATTACCAATCACCCTTCTTCAAACTAGAAAAAAATTGCTGGTAAATTCTTAAGTTTGACAGCATCTACCTCATTCTCAGTGAAATAAAACATTGGCTTAGATTATGGTTTTGTTCAGTTGTAATTTAAAAGTTTTAATTTAACTTTATATTCTTCAAAGGTCTATTTATTTTGAAAGCTTTGAAAAAAAAATTTAATCTTGGCAGGGGTAGCCCACACCTTAATCCTAGGACTCAGGAGGCAGAGACAGGTAAACTTCTTGAGTTTGTGGCTAGCCTGGTTTACAGAGTGTTCCAGGACTGCCAGAGCTACACAGAGAAACCCTGTCTTGAAAAACAAAAACAAAAACAAAAACAAAACAAAAAAAAAACAAAACAAAAAGAAAGAGAAAAAGATTTTTAATAAAATCAAACTTGTGAAAATTCTATAAATAGAAGCTAATTATTTGTGAAGTAAAACATGCATTTGTAAAGTTTAAAGTACTTAGTTTACATATTGATCTTTGATTTTTTGTTTTTGGTTGTGAGCCTAGCCTTTAATGGCTGAGCCATCTCTCCAGCCCTCATCTTTGATTTTTAAAAATATTTTTAAGATTTATTTTTTTTATGGAATTTTAAAAAGATTTACTTTTAATCTGTGTGTGAGACTGCTTTTGTGTGCATGTTACTACATACATGCCTGGTGTGTGTATGGTTACTACATGCATGCCTTGTGTGTGTGAGCATGTTTACTCCATGCATGCCTGGTGTGTGTGAGCATGTTTATTACATGCATGCCTGGTGTGTGTGTGTGCATGTTTACTCCATGCATGCCTGGTGTGGTATGTGCATGTTTACTCCATGCATGCCTGGTGTGGTATGTGTGTGTGTTTACTCCATGAATGCCTGGTGTGTGTGTGTGCATGTTTACTCCATGCATGCCTGGTGTGTGTGTGCATGTTTACTCCATGCATGCCTGGTGTGGTATGTGTGTGTGTGTTTACTCCATGAATGCCTGGTGTGTGTACATGTTTTCTCCATGAATGCCTGGTGTGTGTGCATGTTTACTCCATGAATGCCTGGTGTGTGTGCATGTTTATTCCATGCATGCCTGGTGTGTGTGCATGTTTACTCCATGCATGCCTGGTGCCACAGGGGTGAGAGGATGCAGCAGACTGTCTGGACCTGGAGGAACAGATGGTTGAGTCACCATGGGGTTCTGGGAACCAAACCTGTAACCCCTACAACCAATCAGACTTGGGCTTTTATTAGTTGGTAGACTTTTAATGACTGCTTCTGTTTCACTAAGGATTATAGGTCTAAGTTTTTTATCTGATCTTGATTTAACTTTTGTAGGTGGTATACAGTGAGAAAATTACCCATTTTTTTAAAAAAATATTTTTCAATATGGTGAAGTACAGGTTTTTTAAAAGTATATCCTTATGATTTTCTGGATTTTCACAGTCTGCTGTTAGTGTTCCCCTTTTTGCTTCTAATTTGGATCATCTATCCCTGACTTTTAATTAATTTGGGTAGGAGTTTGTTGATTTGATTGATTTTCTCAAATAACCAACTTTTTTGTTTCAATGATTCTTTGTATTGTTCTCTTTGTTTCAATTTTATTGATTTCAAACCTGAGTTTTATTATTTCTTGTTATCTACTCCTTCTGGACATGACTTTTTCCTTTTGTTCTAGAGCTTTTAGGTATGCTGTTAAGTTACTGGCATGAGATGTCTCCATTTTTTCATGTTGGCACTTAGTGCTATGAGCTTACCTCTTAGAACTGCCTCATTGTGTCATATAATTTGGGTATGTTGTTTTCATTTTCATGAAGTTTATAAAGTCTTTAATTTCTGTCATGCTGTAGGAAGTTGTTCAATTTCCACAAGTTTGTAAGTTTTCTGTTGTCTCTCTTGCTGTTGATATCCAGCTTTGATATATGGTGGTCAAATAAGATGCAGGGAGTTATTTCAATTTTCATGTGTCTGTTGAGATTTGCTTTGTGTCTTAGTATGTAACCAGTTTTGGAGAAAGTTCCATGAGGTGTAGAGAAGGTATACTTTTTTTCTGTTTGGGTGAAATGTTCTGTAAATACCTGTTAGGTCTATTTGATTTATAATGGTTCAGCTAACTAAAATGTTAGTATCAGTTTGTTTAGTTTGGCTGAATGACCAGTCTTTTGATGGGAATAGGGTATTAAAGTCATCCATTATCACTGTGTGAAGATCAATATATGATTTAAGCTGTCTCAGTGTTTCTTTTATGAACTTGAGTGCCTCTGTGTTGGGTGCCTCAATGTTTAGAATTGCAATATTCTCTTGGTGGATTTTTCCTTTGATGAATATGCAGTGTCCTTCCCTATCTCTTCTGAGTAGTTATGGTTTGCCATCTATTTTGTCAGATATTAAAATATCCATGCCAGCTTGCTTTTTTGGAACACCTTAAGGTGTATTTCTTGGATGCAGCAGAAATATGGATCCTGTTTTTGAACCCTTTCTGTTAGTCTGTCTTTTTACTGGGGAATTGAGACTATTGATGCTGGGAAATATCACTGAGAAGCTGGTTTGCATTTTTCTGTTGTTGAGATGGTGGTGGTGGTGTGTGTACTGTCAAGTCAACTTGACACAAGCTAGAGTCATCAAAGAAGAAGGAGAAAATGCCTCCGGCCTCTATTGTTGTCGAATATTAGTTGAAGATGTGTTAGATTTGTTTATGACGTGTTTAGATTTGTTTAATGATGCAAACATGTGCTGCATTCTCTTATGATGCATTTGTTTAACTCTGTGAAGCTGTGTTACTTTGCCTGTCTAAAACACCTGATTGTTCTAACACAGAACTGAACAGTCAATAGCCAGGCAGGAGACAGAAATAGGCCTGGCTGGCAGACAGAGAGAATAAAAAGGAGAACATGAGAGGGGGAGCAGAAAAGGAGAAGAGGAGGACACAAAAGGCCAGCCACTCAGCAACACAGCCAGACACAGACTAAGAAGGAAAGAAAAGATATGCAGAAATAGAGAAGTGTAAAATCTCAGAGGCAAAAGGTAGATGGGATAACTTAAGAAAAGCTGGATAGACACAAGCCAAGGTAAAGCCTGACATTCATAAGTAAGAATAAGTCTCCATGCATTTATTGGGGAGCTGGGTGGTGGCATACCAAAAGAACAAAGATTAAAAGAAAATTCAGCAACACTCTATGAGATCCAGCTGTAAGGCACTGTCTTAATTAGTAATC